TTTTTCGACATACTATGCTCTAATTTTTTATGACTTTTTTCAACATGCTAGGACTGTTTTCATAAACTATTCTGTGACTTTGCTATGAATTTTTTACGACTTTTTTCATCAAAATATATTACTTTTTTCAACATACTATTCTTCTTCAGACATAATTTACTGTGCTTTCTTATGACTTTTTCATACTTTATCATGACTATGCTATGACTTTTTTTTTTTTTTTAACTTAAATCGACATACTATTCTATGACTTGTTCGACATACTATTATGTTTAATGGAATACTACACTATACATGTTTTATGACTTTGGCATACTATACTAACTATTACCTTTTTCGATATGACGTCTTATGACTTTTTATGTATTTTATTTCAACATACTATACAATTACTTTTTGTGACATAATATATAATGGAGTTAAATTAATTTTAGTTTACCCACTTGTAATCAATATGGAACATTTCCTATTTTCTCAGGGTATTCGGCTAAATGTCAAAGGATTTTTCATAGTTACAGGATGATGGATAGAGTAGGACAGAGATTGATGGATCAGCAAGCAAGAACAGACTTACAAGTACGTTGTTGTGTAATGAAACAGACAAATACATTCAAATGAAATTTGGAGTTTGTTATATAGAGAGTGCAGATGGAGCACGTACTGCTGGGACGTGACAGGGTTCGTGTGTGGATGTTTTTTTGTTTGTGACTGGCATCTTCAAATGGTTTTTGCCTCCTCGGAGGCGTTAATGGCCGTCGTACATCACAGAGCTTGCGTCTCCCATTGCGGCTGGGACAAGCGCAGCCTGACATGAGTTAATGATCAGAGTTTGCAAAGGAAATGAAGATGTATGAGTTCTGAGTCTGTATCTCTAGTCCTGAAGTAGAAAGAAATGCATCAGGATGAAAAACATCTCCCCAAACCTACATCTCATCCCCTTACAACCTGCCTGTTTATCTCGATATGATAAATAAACTCCACGTCCATCTGCAAGGTGAAGGATCTTTGTTTTTCTTAGCAACTTTGGTCTTTACACAAAACAGAGGAGATCAAGAGCTAAAAGTAATCTGTAGACTGTTGGGTAAATACAAAAAAACAATCCCAATCAAAGTGATCTTGTGAAAAATCTTGAATTATTATTTCTGATCCAAAGAAGAAAGAAGACAATATACAATATTCACACCAGAAGACTCAAAAGACGGTTGTTTTTAACTTATTTATTTTCTTGAGGGAATGTTGGATCCTTCATTAAATACTTATTTACAGTTCGATATTTTACATGGCTCGGTCACATGCACATTGTCATATAAAAAAAAAAAAACTGTACACACATTTACACTTATTTCAGAGGGAGTAGTTGTGCAATACAAGGCACAAATGACCGTTGACCCTGCATTTATGACCCATGAGTACATATTTCACAGACACATATCGTATTACCATATGTGAGCTCAACGTGACAACACGCGCATGGAGAAAACGACTTGAGCAGCCGCAGAGAAGACCTGTGTCGGTGTATGATAGCAATCCACCGACGAGCAGCAAAGCAGCAAAGTGCCCTCTTGATTGTGTGTAAATGCGATTCCGACCCCTCAGCAGCCTGAGGCAAAGTCTATTCAGCCACACTGATAGTGAGCCGAGACGTCGTCTGACTTAGAGCAGAGTTCCACAATCTGTAGGACAATCTACAATCCTCAGAATAAGTCTGTTACAGACTCAGGATATAAGGTGAATGTTTATCAATGTCCTACATACGCATTCTGCTTCTTTAAGGCAGCAAGGCCGGTTGGCTGAGGCAAAAGGCTGAAGCTGAGCTGTACTCTTGGGTTTCACGTCCTAGTGGTCATAAGATGGTTGGGCCAGACTAGAAATGCTACAGGTGGTAATCACACAAGCAGTTTGACTGGCAGCTCTCCTACTCTATCCATCCTGCGGTCCTATACACCTAAATACCAGAAGGCCTGGTTACACGTCTTTTTTTTTTTTGTTTGCTTGTGAAAATAGGGGCTGTCTATGTTTTTTTTTTTTGCTAAATCCCGCACCCAAGCAGCGATTGTCCAATCATGGCTTAGCAACCATAATGGTCGATATGGCCAATGAATTCTGTGTCACCAGGGGAGATCCATGGGTGCGTTGTTTTTTGGCACTTGATTATTTAACACTACCCATGGGGGGCACCAAAGTCAGACATTTTCAACTACACACATAGTGGCTTTAAATAGTGATCAAGGCTGCTGAACAGTTTTCCAATTTAAACTCGATGCTATTCGTGGCTACAGGAAGTCAGGAACCTACAACTGATTTTATTTTATTTTTTCCACGTTTGGCTACAGAACATTGGCTTCAGCTTGTGTATCAGTCCGGGATGGTACATTTGGTGTGATAACAACCTTTTCTGAAAGGATATTTCTCATCAGGTAGAATTTTTCCGGAGTTGAATGTTGCAGGAGTAATAGATTACGGTTAGCTCTTATCCTCCTGTAGAGCCTGTTTGTGGTCAGTAGTATTAATAGGAAACATGTCAGAATACCAGCAGACAGCCGGGAACATAAGGATGGAGATTGGCTCTCGAGTGTCTACACAGGTGTGCATGCTGCTCTTGTCAAAGAGAAAATTCTCACTCTCCAGAAATATTTGCTTGAAAAGAGGACCGACTGGGGACTGTCTTACTCCTTCTTGACTGTTATCTTACATACTGCGTCAGCACAAACATTCATATATTTGATTTCTAAACCTACTGTTGAGCTAAACAGGTTTTTTTTCCAGTACAACTTCAGTGCTTTAAGCCTCGTTTGGGACTCATAAACTCTGTCTTTGTAAACTAAGTCTAAAAATAGGCTTAATACATATCTGAAAAACAATTCACAGAGTATTCACAGCAGTGTTCATTATCCAAAGTGCATGTAAATCCTAACTTGCAGAGATTATTCTGAGGCCATCTGATGAGGAAGACGTCAGTTAACCTCAACTAAATCTCTAATATCAAAGAAGGTATGACACAACTATTTACACATCAGGTAATGAATTGGCGCTGACATGACATCGGCAGGATAAACAACTCAGGGCAACTTCTGGTGGGGCTGATACAAAGCCAGATAATAAGGTAGTTTAGGTAATTAGGGCTTCACTGCTTATATACATAAATCTTCCAAGTAAGCGTATTTTGTGAAGCACACATGATTTTTTGCTACATTTTTTACGCATAATTCATTGACTGTCAATGCTTCAGAATCCCTCTAAGATTTTTATAAATCCACACAGGTATCAAACATTAAGGTTAACAATAGCAGGGGGAATTAATCGACTACTAAATTGCTATTTTGTGAGGCGACCAATCAACCGATGAGCGTCACTAACCTCATGCATCCTGCAGCAAATGTACAAGCACAGGGCACCCGAGAGAGTGCGTAAAGCTACAGTACTACACGATCGTCTCCAGCATTCAGTAAGAGTCTGGAGAAGGGAAAGAACTGAGATAACGGCCGTCTTAGCATTACTATCACATGAAATCCAACAAAGAGCAGGTGAGCAGTGTCAGTTTGGCTTATGGGCAAAGATAAACACGTAGTGTACAGTGAAGGGCCCAGTGGAGTTTGACTCAAGGTCTATAGTAGGAAACCCATTATGTTGTGGAGGTTAATTTCCCTACTGATCACAGTCTGTACCGCTCACTCCAGTTTACTACTATACAATTACCATAGTTTATGCATATTTTAAACAAGTAATTATGGTCAAAAATCAGTGCACATCCTCTCAGAGTTACAAGACTTTCAGCTTTGGCCAGATTGGAAGATAAGATGTGTACATTGTTGTACAGGAAAGCACAGTATATAGATAATAAGTAAAGGGAATCAAAGGCAAAAGAAAAACATGGAAATGAGTCTTTTACAAAAAAAAAGGATGATACATAATAGTACCTTTGTCACAACGTAAAAAATAAATCTCTCAAACAATGCATTTGGTCGATTCAAAAAGCTACCAAAAATTCACACGGTCAAGTAATGACTTAAGCTCGACAAAGTATATCCTTCAACCTTTACCTGAGTTTCTAAGAATGGCAAAATATGAAAACCGACAACGCTTTTAATCACCCCCCATCCACACATCTGCATTCAACGCACTCCCCAACAATATAAAACCCAAAACCCATGTCATTACTTTAGGAGAATGTAAGCAGCTTCAAACTCATCTCGGCTACATCAACAATCAGCAGAACGTACTCCTGCTCAGAGGAGGCTTTGCAGAAAGTATGTCAAGCAGTTTTATGATCCCAGCTTTGTTGAATTAAACTACATGTTTCTTTTTATAAGGAAAAGTGTATTCATTTTTTTTCAACAGCAGGAGTGATATTTCAGAGCTGAACAAAAGGATTCTGTGCTATGGTATTTTGACACCATGACATGAGTTGCTCTTAAATGCTGCATGACGCAAAAGCTCAAGTTTTTAAACTGAAAGGGACGTGAATGCTAGTAGCTACTATCCATTATAGAACAAAAAGAGAATTGAATTGACGTGTAAGACTTGGGTTACTACTGTTGCCTGTAGGAGTGTGTGTGTGTGTGTGTGTGTGTGTGCATACAGTATGTGTGTGTCAGTGCAGTGCTGAATGTTTTTCATGAGAGAGACACTAAATCCACACTGAGTGATGCCACGACCCATCAAGCAAGTCGAATAACCTAAACATCCACTGAAAGCTTGTGTTTAGTGTGTCCACGGTTTGCGCATTGTGTGTGTTGCCCACACATATAATCTACCACAAAAACAGATTTGTACATCAGTGCAGGGGTACAGGAAGTTTCTCCCACTCTTTAAATGTAGCAGCAAACAGTGGGTGGAAGAAAATTGGGATTCTAATAAGAAATCCCTCTCAGTTATGACCTACTCCCCCCCCCCC